CTTGAACAACTCCTCCATCCAGAATATAAAAATAATTTGTATATAAATAATAAAAGACAATTAATAAATTGTCAAAAGCCCTAACCAGACACATCACAAAGTTGTACAAATGACCAACTAAATCATGAAAAGATGTCCAGCATCTTTAGTTATCAAAGAGAAACAAAGCAATTATAAATGTAACCAGGTGTAGTTTCACACTCATTAGAAAAGTACAGCATCAAATGTTGGAAAGGAATGAAGCAATAAAAACTCTTATACATTTTCAGGGGAAGTTTAAAATACTACCACTAACCACTTTGGAGAATCGTTCAGCAATATAAAGTTGAAACATATGTCACCCATGACACAAGAATTCCCTCGAAGTATTTATACAAGAGAGATAAAAATATACACCCACAATATATTTGTTGGGGAATATTCATAACAGTCCAAATGTCGATCAAGAGACTATAAGAAACAAATACTGGAATATTGTACTCATACAATGGAACACTATGAAATAAAAATGGGGCCGGCGTCATGGCTCACTAGGTTAATCCTCTACCTGTGGCGCCGGCATCCCATATAGGCGCCAGGTTCTAGTTACAGTTGCTCCCCTTCCAGTCCAGCTCTCTGCTGTGGCCCAGGAAAGCAGTGCAGGATGGCCCAGGTGCTTGGGCCCTGCACCTGCATGGGAGACCAGGAAGAAGCTCCTGGCTCCTGGCTTTAGATCAGCACAGTGCTGGCCGTGGTGGCCATTTGGGGGGTGAAACAACAGATGGAAGACCTTTCTCTCTGTCTCTCTCTCTCTCACTGTCTATAACCCTACCTGTCAATAAAATAAATAAATAAAAATGGATGATTACTGTTGCATGCAATAACATGAATGAACATCAAAATCAATTTGTGGATGGAAAATAATGTCTGCTACATTTCTATTATATGAAGTCCAGGAGAAGACATATTAATTTATAGTGCTAGAAATCAGAAAATATTTTCTCTGGAGTTGGAAGAATTGATTGAAAGGAATATGAAAGATCTTTCTGGGTTGTGGCTACTGATATATGGAATTTTCAAAACCTAATGAACTGAACACCTAAGAGCTGTGCATATTATTGTACATAAATTAGATATTTTTAAAGTTAAAAAACCCTAATGAGGTTGAAATAAAAACATTTGCCCTTTTCCAGAATTGCATTGATCTTTCTTTTTTTTTATTTATTTTTTAAAACTTTTATTTAATGAATATAAATTTCCAAAGTACGATTTATGGATTACAATGGCTTCCCCCACATACCGTCCCTCCCACCCACTACCCTCCCCTTTCCCACTCCCTCTCCCCTCCATTCACATCAAGATTCATTTTCGATTATCTTAATATACAGAAGATCAGCTTAGTATACATTAAGTAAGGATTTCAACAGTTTGCTCTCACACAGAAACATAAAGTGAAAAATAATAGATGATTTTTTTTTAAATGATGATGAAATCAGATCAGACCTATTGTCATGTTTAATCCCAGTGAGAGTCAAGTTGGGAGTTGATAATTTCTTTTTTTTTTTTTTTTTTTTTTTTTTTTTTTTACAGAGGATCAGTTTAGTATACATTAAGTAAAGATTTCAACAGTTTGCACCCCCATAGAAACACAAAGTGAAATATATTGTTTGAGTACTCGTTATAGCATTAAATCTCAATACACAGCACATTAAGGACAGAGATCCTACATGAGGAGTAAGTGCACAGTGACTCCTGTTGTTGACTTTACCAATTGACACTCCTGTCTATGGCATCAGTAGTCTCCCTATGCTCCAGTCATGAGTTTCCAAGGCTATGGAAGCCCTCTGAGTTCTCCGATTCTTATCTTGTTTAGACAAGGTCATAGTCAAAGTGGAAGTTCTCTCCTCCCTTCAGAGAAAGGTACCTCCTTCTTTGAAGACCTGTTCTTTCCACTGGGATCTCACTCGCAGAGATCTTTTGCCAGAGTGTCTTGGCTTTCCATGCCTGAAATACTCTCATGGGCTTTTCAGCCAGATCCGAATGCCTTTAGGGCTGATTCTGAGGCCAGAGTGCTATTTAGGACATCTGCCATTCTATGAGTCTGCTGAGTATCTCACTTCCCATGTTGGATCACTCTCCCCTTTATTTATTCCATCGGTTAGTGTTAGCAGGTACTAGACTTGTTTATGTGCTCCCTTTGACTCTTAGTCCTTTCATTATGATCAATTGTGAACTGAAATTGATCACTTGGAATAGTGAGATGGCATTGGTACATGCCACCTTGATGGGATTGAATTGGAATCCCCTGGTATGTTTCTAACTCTACCATTTGGGGCAAGTCAGCTTGAGCATGTCCCAAATTATACATCTCTTCCCTCTCTTATTCCCACTCTTATGTTTAACAGGGATCACATTTCAGTTAATTTTTAACACTTAAGAATAACTGTGTATTAATTTACAGAATTAAACCAGTCGTATTAAGTAGAACAGACAAAAAAACTACTAAGATCTTTCTTAAATCAAATGTACAATCTTCCCTTTGTCATACAACAAATCTAACACCTATATTCTTCTGAAGAGCAGAGATCTAAATTTAAGGCAAAAAGTCAACCTAAACTGAATTGATGTTTACCAAAAAGTTAATATGCTTAGAATATGAAATGAAGGGAAAAAATACAAAAGAATGTAAGAAAAAAAAATCACATTAGAATCAGGACTAAAATCTAATTTCTAAGACTTAATCAGTAGTCTTTCAAAAAATAACTCTTCATTCAAGTTCTCTTATAATAATAAAATATCAGTTAAATATAGAGCTTGGAAGATTTTTTAAGAATTCCATTGAAGAGGAAAGATGGTATGAGTTATTTTTTTAATCAACATGGGCATTTACAAATTTACTTTTTTTTTTTTTCACAGAATTAGACAGTGAGAGAGAGACAGAGAGAAAGGTCTTCCTTTTGCTGTTGGTTCACCCCACAAGTGGCCGCTACCGCCAGTGCATTGCGACTGGTGTGCCGATCTGAAGCCAGGAGCCAGGTGCTTCTCCTGGTCTCCCATGGGGATGCAGGGCCTAAGTACTTGGGCCATCCTCCACTGCACTCCCGGGCCACAGCAGAGAGCTGGCCTGGAAGAGGGGCAACCAGGACAGAATCCGGCGCCCCAACCGGGACTAGAACCCCAGAGGGCCGGCGCCGCAGGCGGAGGATTAGCCTAGTGAGCTGCGGCACCGGCCATACAAATTTACTCTTAAAATAATATTTATAGAAATTCTTAAGTGTCAAGGATATAAGTTTTTAAAAAGACAGCAACAACAAAAACCTAGTTAAGTAGATGAACAGCAACCCAACGGTTCTTTTCTTTTTTTTTGTCACAACAGAAATTAAGAAAGACAAATTAAGAGGCTATAATTCACCCGTATCATTGGAATTAAGGAGGAATGTTCATTCTACTGAATGTGATTGCACCACAATGACATCTATGGTAATCTTTGTGACAGGGTTACTTTCTTCAGCAGTGGGAAGGTAGTTCAAATATGACTTCAATTTAAACAAACATAGCCTAAATTCGGAGTTACCTTGGCTGCTCTCATTAGAAAGAAGTTTAGGAAATGACCAGACGTTATAAACAAACGTTATATTCAGGACAAAAATCCAAAAATGTCCCATAAAGTACTTTACATTCATCTGAAAGCTTTTCAATAATTTTTAGTGCATAAGTTAGGATACTCCATTCTTTTATGAGCTGTATTGTTACTGTCCAGTTCGCAAAAGCCAAATTACAAGTTCAAAGGTAGCCCTACACCAATGGATTCAGTAGACAATTGGCATCAGTCCATCACTGAGTTGAGAAAAGTGTTCAGTCCTCTCTTCTGGATTCTTCTTCCAATGACTACATGGATCACTGCCTACGGCTGTTTTATACAATGTACAGTAATAGATTAGTAAGCATAGTTACGTCATATCACGAAGCCAGAGCCACACATCATCAGTCTTCCTCTTCACTTCTGTTTCATTTTCCCTCTGCCATGGCGACAGCCTGGCCTCACCGATCACTGCATTTCTTTGGTCTTCAGGCAAGCTAAGTCTTACTCTAAACACCAGAAAGCCTTCTGTGTGACTTACCTTTCTGTAAATTTTTGTTGGACAGGTAACAAAATCTCTGCATTTTTTCCTCCTTATACCAAAGAATGGCAGATAAGTACTGATTGATTCCCTCCAGATAATGATAGTAATTAACTCTTTGTGCACTGATTTGATGCTAAGCACTCTATTAAGTGACACATAAACCCCATTATCCTGTTTATTTCTCACAATCCCCGTTGTAGCAAAAAGTCAAGTAACTGCGCCCCTCGCGGCAGCTGAGACCTGTCAGAACTGTGGTTTAAACCCAGAGATTAAACTAAACTCTCTCCTCCAGGGAGACTTGATTTCTTGCATTCATTTAGATTCTTAGTGATTTTCTTCACACGTGATTCAACTTCTGCTACTATGTTAGAAAACTGACAAAAACAGCAAGCCTAAGGTGTTTCCAAAAGAAAAGAAAGCAGTATATGTAAACACATCCATTGTTCTCCCCCGGGGTTTCTGTACCCAGAGCAATCAGAACACCGATAAGATTAAACCAGCAGCAAACCATGTCCAGAAGATTTCCAGTTTACAGTACAAAGTTTGTTGATTTAGTAGTTAACTCAGTCTATCAACTAATGTGCCAAAAGCGATAATAACATGGTAACAATTTTCAACATGAATGCTTTCCTTCTGGCTATTTTCATCTCTCTTGTTAGAATCTGCCAGAAGATTTTCTCCACGTTCAGTTCACTCTTAATAGATTATAAATACCACACATTTTAAAGGAAAAGTTAATACTGTTTAAAGGAAAAAAGTCATTGTATGTTACACACAGTGCTCTACTATAAAAACTCAAAACAGACCTGTAATCTCACTAGAAGTAGCAATAGAAATATTTTGTTTGCAACAAATCAGTAGAATTTTAGTTTTTTAAAGATCACCAGTGACTCTTACCTTAAAATTCTTTGCCCATCGATACAACCTAGAAATCAACATGTGGAAATCTCTTGTGAGTCTCTGTAGGCGGGCTCCAAATATTCGCTTATTTTTCAGAAGCAGAGAAAGCAGAGATTAAAGGGGGGGGCGGGGCAAACCACCCTTACAATGGCCTTGTCACTATTCCTTTATTGAATGCTTAGCAACAGAGGTCCAGGGACCTAGAAACTGAGATGCCTGGGGCACTGACCCCCAGCCTGTCTCTTCTCCTTTCTGGGTAGCTTGGGAGCCTAGGGCTCTAACTGAAAAGAGTTAAACATCCTGAAAGTTGAGCTAGCACCATGATTAAAGTGTTCAGAGTAATGCATGGCTGAATTTTGTCAAAAATACTGATGGTATTATAATTTGGTAATTTGTAATATTTATACCTGTATAGAAAACAGGTATAAGATAGAAATCTTATATGTTAAAGATTTAGCCACTTCATTCTACCCAGTTAAGAAAGAAAAGGAAAAAATAATGGAAGCTGGGGTCAAATATTCCAGTTCATTGATTAACACTATTGGTGTGATGCTGGATTGCATTTCTGAGAGTTTTCATAGTTATACACAGTGCAGTGATAAAATCTCCAGAGCTCATCCCAAAGTTCCTTCCATGGCTTCTTTAAGTGGGTGGAAAGTGAGTTCATGGGTGTCTGTGTCGGGGAGAAACTCTCCCTGGCAGGATCACTTTGCACTCACTCAGCAGCTATCTCTGTTGCATTTGTCACGTTTCTGCTGTTTAGTAAATAGTCAATGCTCTCTAGATTGTGTGGCTGCGGACTGTGCTTTGTTCATCTTTTTAGTGCCAAAGGCCCAATCTTGTACATGTAGATCAATAAATGTGTTGAACTGAAGTGACTTCCTTTCTTTTCCTTTTTTTTTTTTTTTTTGTAGCTCAAAAGTACTTTTTGTTTTTGTAGCTCAAAGTAGTGGAAGCGGTGACATAGGCTTGAATTCTCCCTCACACGTATCTTACACATGGACGCTTTCTTCTCTCTGATGAGCGGAGACTCCCCAGCTAAGCACATCGCTCATTGTTGGGGAAGTCTCCAGATTTTAGCACATTCAGATCTCCCTGCCTGAAGCACTTTTGAAAGTTTAGACACATATGGGTAGAAGTGCCATTGTGTCTGGATCTCGGTGATTTCTTTTCTTTTTTTTTTTTTTTCTTTTCAGCATTCTGCTTTTAAGAGACACAGAAGAAAAATAAGGTCTGTTTAGGAAAAAAAAATCAGAGAATGTTGTTCTTTTTAGGAAATGAATCAGACATTCTATTAGTTGTCCTACTTTTATGAAGTGGGTAGAATTCTAACATACTTGTACTATCATACATCTCTCACATAAAATAATATTTTATCACAGAATTCTCTGCAAATAACTAAAAGTTACTAAGTTTAGGTCTCCTGTATGTGCAACTGGCCTCTCTTATTTAGAGTCAGAGCCTGTAGCTTCTTAATCATCGAATAAATACATTATTCCATCACAAGTAGAAGAATGAGTCGTAAGTAAATCAAAATATATTTCTTTGACCCTAATATTTGGGTATAATCTCATATAGAATTTTAAAGAGGCAGAGAGGGAGGGTGGGAGGGAGAGAAGAAGGGAAGTGTTATTAATTTATTAGAATTGTGTCTATAAACAACATTGAGTATTTCTCTTTGTATTAATACCACAATAACATTGATGAGAATTGTGTTGCTGTTATTATACTTTTGCTATAGACCCTGAGAATCGAATGCATCAATAAATTCCTTAAAAAGGAAATAAAGTTAAATAAAAAGGTGAAGATATTTAAAACAATATTTATGCATTAAAATAAAAACATAAAATTGGGGGTCAGCACTGTGGAACAGAAGGTTAAGCTGCTGTTTGGGATACCAGCACCCCATTCCGAGTGCCATTTCAAGTCCCCATCACACTGCTCCCCAATTCACCTTCCTGTTAACCTGCCTGGAAGCAGCAATTAATCTTAAAAAAGGTGCTGGTTTTGGAGTCATTGTTTCCACTTATAAAAATAAAATTATTTTCATAAAAACATCCAAGCAAAGTCTGTGAATTCTACAGAGTACTGTGTAGGTATGGCATACAGTATCACATCAGACAAAATTGAGTTTGCTCTGTGTAAATTATTTTAATAAAGTTAATAATTTACTTAAATATTACAAAAAGCTTCAAAACTCTTAGGAATACTGTATTACTTAGTATATAGTATGTTATACATATGATATCAGTGTAGTAATTTTTAAAGATTTATTTATTTATTTGAAAGGCAGAGTTACAGAGGAGGGGAAGAGAGAGAGAGAGAGAAAGAGAGAGAGAGAGGTCTTGCAACCTCTGGTTTACTCCCCAGATGGCCTCAACAGCCGAAGCTGTGCCAATCTGAAGACAGGTACTTGGAACTTGCTCCAGGTCTCCCACCTGGGTGCAGGGGCCCAAGGACTTGGGCCATCTTCCAGAGCTTTTCTAGGCCATAACAGAGAGCTGGCTCTGAAGTGGAGCAGCTGGGACTCGAACCGGCACCCATACGGGATACTGGCACTAAAGGCTGCTATGCCATAGTGCTGGCACCTCAATGTAATATTTTATATATTTATAGTGTATATACTATACGTTCATATGTGTATTCATTCATAATACAAAATATGTGCATAAGTGGCTGACACTGTGGTGTAGCGGGTAAAGGCATTGCCTGCAGTGTCTGCACCCCATATGGGTGAAGTTTCGAGTCTTGGCTGCTCCACTTCCAATCCAGCTTTCTGCTATGGCCTGGAAAAGCAGTAGAAGATGGCCCAAGTCCTTGGGCCCCTGCACCCGTGTGGGAGACCTGGAAGAAACTCTGGCTCCTGGCTTTGGATCCGTGCAGCTCCACATATTGTGGCAATTTGGGGAGTGAACCAGCAGAGGGTTAACATTTCTCTCTCTCTTTCTGCCTGTATGTAACTCTGCCTTTCAAACAAATAAATACATCTCTAAAAATGTGCATAATTTATTATACAGTATGTATACATGTATTTACCAAGTAATTCTAATACAGGGTGAAAGAAGGAGTTTCTTAAAGAAAAAAAATGCACTTTAAAGAGCAAAATATGTAAAGAACCCTGGGAGCTGGTCAGAGATTTCTTCTCACCCATTCATTTTTAAAATTCATAGAGAGGGAGAGAGAATCTCTGCATGGAAAAATGAACTTGAGGAGGCAAGGAATTTTTTTGGTCACATTACAGTGTTTCTAGAATGTGGCACTTTCATGTGCTTAATAAATAATTGTTGAGTGAACGACAGGTTTCTTGAAGCCTTGCCAGTCCCACAACATTGTTTTCTTTACTGCAGCCAGAGGTAACTTACGGAACATGTTTTTCACATGCTGTGCGCCCCTTAGCACTGACCGATCTTCGCACTCTAATTTCCTTCCCACCAGCGCTTCCCTTGCGATGTATGCCCCAGGCTCACTGGCAGTCTTGAGTTCTCCAACTTGTCATATGGTTGAGGAACACTTGGGGCACCTGCCTGGAAATCCAGCTTCCTGTCCTTCCCAGGGCCACTTCCTTCTCGTGGTTCATTCTCATCTTATATGGCCCCCTCTTCCCTATGAGCATCTCCTTGGAAGAAATGTTTCACAATTGCTTATTCATTTGCTTTTTTTTTCTATGTATTCATCTATATTGTTTAATAACTGCTATGGTTTGAACAAGATTTGGCTCCCAGACTCACATGGACATTAAACCCCACGTCATCAATTGATGGTACTAACATGGAGAAAACAATCCAGTTATTGTGGTTATAAGTAGGGTCTAATAGGAGGGCCTTAGCTCACGGAGATGAACTATGAGAAAACAGTTTTCTGAAGAGGGTTGGGGATAAACGGCCGAGCTGGACCCAGTTGTATTCTCTGCCTCCTGGCTTGGCATGTGATCCTTCCTGTAGGTGTGCTCCCTCCCGCCGTGCACTGTCTGTACCACCTCGGGACTCTGCCAGCAAGATCACCGTCACCAGATTCTGAACTAAGGCAACTCCCAACTTTAAACTGTGAAGCCCCGAAATCAAGAACCAAAGCAAACATTCAGGAAAGTGAAGACAGAATGGGACAGAATGGGAGAAATTATTTGCAAACTATGCAACTGATAAAGGATTGATAACCAGAATCTACAAAGAGATCAAGAAACTCCGTAACAACAAAACAAGCAACCCACTTAAGAGATGGGCAAAGGACTTAAACAGGCTTTTTTCAAAAGAGAAAATCCAAATTGCCAACAGACACATGAAAAATGTTCAGGATCATTAGCCATCAGGGAAATGCAAATCAAAACCACAATGAGGTTTCATCTCACCCCAGTTAGAATGGCTTTCATACAGAAATCAACAAACAACAAATTGTGGTGAAGATGTGAGGAAAAAGGTATCCTAATCCACTGTTTGTTGGAATGTAAACTGGTGAAGCCACTATGGAAGACAGTATGGAGATACCTCAGAAATCTGAATTATTAGAGAACATTGGGGAAACCCTAAAAGATATCAGCACAGGCAAACAGATCCAGGAGAAGACCCCAGAGACACAGGCAGTCAAAGCCAAAATTAACAAATGAGAATACATCAAATTGAGAAGTTTCTGTACTGCAAAAGAAACACTTGTTTTCAATCATTCCCTCCAACTGAGTCATTAAATTCCATGATAGCAAATGAACGTGTCTATTACATTCATCTCTTTTATGCTATTGCTTAGAACAGTATCTAACATACAGTTGGTGCTTAATAAATAATTGCACATGAATGAATGAAAAGTAACCTCGGACTCCAATAGTGCTTTATCCAACTTGCTCTTTAAACATTTAAACCTTTCTGCCTGGTATTAGAGTTATTTGGAATATAACTGAAAAGTTACGTTCCCCATATGGCCAGGGCAGTATACATTTTTGTTATTTCCTTTTTTAGCCACCACAGCATGAGCGACAGGTGTCCCTGTTTGTGTACCAGTCTGCTGCTGTACATGCTGTGATGTTGTAGCTAGATGCTTCCTCAGAAACGAATGATTTATTATACAAACCATTGAACTGAAAGCAGCCTTCAACTCCTCTTCTTCAGAAATGATCTCAGCTGCAGAGAGCTATGTCACACAATGGTGCACCCCTCCCAGAAG